AGGAACATCTGCCAGAACTCGGGCTTGGCGATCCGGTGAGTGACGGAGAGCCAAATCATGATGAAGCTGAAGAAGTTGAGGGAGGAGCCGACGATGAACAGAACCCACGGCGGAGCCACCTCGGCGAGAAGTCCGGCGAAGACTCCGAGGTTGGAGCCGAGATCTTTGGAGAATCCCAAGGTGTTAACTTGGGTTTGGCTGTAATCGAATTGGGTCTTTATGACTTTGGAGTATGTTCCGAATAGGTAGGGTGAGCCGGCGCCGATCATGATCACGAACGAAGCGAACACCGAAAACCATCGCCCTTCTACAACTTGTTTCGTGAATCGCCAACCTTCTGCTGCACACATCTTGCCCATGATCCCTAATAATTTAAGAATTACTATTGATTGATTATATAGTAATCCTTAAATTACTAGGATTGAGGGAGGATTAGGAGAGATGCTCAAAATTAATGAGATTGCTCCTCAATTTGGCTACCTTATAAAAGTCTTTCAGTTCCACAGTTGAAGTACCGAACATTGTTCCCAACGCCACATGGGTAAAGTTTTATGATGGAAAATGGTTGTGCAACCACAAACCACACTCAAAACCTCCTCCCCCAACCGTCATAAAAGATAAGTTTTCTGACTCATAGATGTAGTGCTTTCGTTTTTATTTTTTATTTTTTATTTATTTTTCTGAAGTATTAGTTAATCAATTAGAAACTCTTCCTAATGTTTATTTGTTTTCTGTTTCAAACTTCTGCTTTATGGAATTATAAATAGGTATTTCTTTTTTCTATTTTTTTAGAGTTCACAATGTCTTGACCAATCGTAGTAAGGTTGTTATATAAAATTTTAACTTTATAACTATTAGTATATGTTTAGGAAGTAATATTTGTAGTTTATAATAAAATTGTGTTTTATTTTTTTGTTTGTAAGAAAGGAAATTTTAATAGATGACAATATAATTCACATGTGGTTATATTTGTCCCTATAGCAACAATATTATGATTCTGTAAATATGTTATTTTATGGGCACTTGTAAATATGATAAAAAAATTTAGCAAAAAAAGCAAAATAGCAACTACATTTCGTTTTTTCAAATATAGCACTTTTTATCATAAAAACGAAGGTCCAATTATGAAATTACAAATTCACCCTTTAATATATTTCATATATATCTGTAATATATCTAACCACTGATATATATTTCTGATATACTACTGATATAATAATGATATACAATTGATTGACTTTTGATATCTACTCAACTTCTAACATGTCTTACCACTGATATACGTATGATAACCATTGATTTACCACGCTGATACAATACATATATATGTGATATATATTTGATATGTCTCTAATTTACAATTGATATACAAATGATATACCACTGATATAACGATGGTATCTACTGATATAACTTCTTATATGATTATATAATTTACCACTAATATAACATTGATATGTATTTGATATATACTTAATATGCTTCTAATTTACCACTTATATACCTCTGATATAACCATTATATCTACTAATATAACTATGATATATATGTGTTGATATCATACTATTATATCCAATATTTTTTTCAGATGAAAACAATGGTGCAAAATTTTTTATTATTTTTGAAATATAAAGTTATTATTTAAAAGGTTTATGTGGACCAAAAATTTAAATAGTTTATATCCCTTATATTTAGTATCTAATTAATATTAATATTGAATAAATAGAGGTGATATAGTAATCAACATTATTGATAATATTAGTATATTAATGAACAAATTGAAATGATAAAAACTAGAATTTAAACCGTTGATATACCACTAAAAATTAAACATTTGATATACCTTATATTTAGTATATCAATTGCAAATATATTTAGTATACCAGTTGGAAATATATTTAGTATATCATAAATTAGAAGTACATCAGATATATATATATTATATGTATAATACGTACATTTGATGTATAACAGTGATATATCTGATAATGTATATCATGATACATCTGATATTGTATATTATAGAGTACATCGAATGTATATCGGAAGTATATTAGAGTTACATCGAATGTATATTAGATATAGATTGGATGTATATCATATACAAATTTATATCATATATATATATATATCAGATATAGATATATATCAGATATCATAAGGGTAAAATTGGAATAATAAAAATTTTGAAAATAAAAATTCAAATATTTTGCTATATTTGAAAATTTGAAAAGCTGGTGACATTTTTTAAAATACATAAAATATTTTTGCTGCCCACCACAATTATCCTAGAATAAACTATTTTGTCATATTTACCATAGGGTATTTTTATTGGTTGGAAAATAAAATTGAATAGTTAGAAAAATGGTTAGGAGGGGACAAATTTCGCAAATATGATGGAGAAACGGGAATGGAGATGCGATAACTATTGGAATAGATCCCAAGAGATGGTAACTGTGTGCCAGTTTTGGTTAGTTTCATGAAAAATAACTTCTTTGCAAAATCGAGCTCGAACCTGTCAGAGAGGGGGCTAATATTTGGGAAAAGAAATCGGATGCCACGTGGAGGACCGCGATTCGCCAAAAGAAGCATTCCCCAGATGAACTTTTGAGCAGCTCCACCTTGGCAACATTCTCGGTGGGTAACTTCGTTGCTATTTCCAATATCAGACCATCAATACTTAAGCTAAACTGTTCGGGTTCGATCTGCTCGATCCGACAGGTCCGACCTCAAATCCAACAAGGTAACCGCCTATCCATCCCTTGTCGGTACCTAAACCTATAAATAGAGGGTCTTATTTTACCATCAGGTAGGGAATTTCTCCTCGAACTTAATATTGAGTCCGAGTTGCCTCCTAACTTGAGCGTCGAAATTTTTGTTGTCTTATGTAGGTCTTCCCTCTGTGCTCTAAGTCGGAGCTGGGACCGAGTTCAAGCTGACCAAGTTTGACGTTGTGCAACTCTCTACCTAAACACACACCAAAAATAGAGGTGGAATTTTTTTTGGAAGATTAAAGTACCTCATAAAGCCCAAATCTGTTGTTGGAAAACCTATCAAGATATCCTTCCAAGTAAGGAAAATCTTCTAACGAAGGGCATCATCGCTTACATGTTATGTATTTTTTGTAGGAACAACGAAGAGAGTTCTAGTCATATCCTATGGGGTTGTTAGGTAACGAACAGTATCTGGCAAAATTACACTAATTGTGATATGATTTATTTTGGCATTAACAGATTTGTAAGGGATTGAAAAGACTATTGGAATAGATGCTGGAAAGAACACCTGTAGAGGATAGAGGTAACATTCTGATCATAGCATGGCAAATTTGGGAAGAAAGAAATTCATCAATTTTCAGAGACAAGGTGATAAATATTTCAGAAATCCAGCAAAGAATAGATATACAGATCAGACAATATTTAGTAATTTCGACATCTCAAGCCAGAGAAACAACATAACAACACAAACAACTAAGAATTAAAGGTCCCTTCGACACACGCTTGGAAGCTAAACACTAATGCGACTTGGTTTCCAATAAGAAAGGTAGGGGGACTGGGGTGGATCATCAGAGATGAGAAATGAGCCATTCTTAAAGCTGTATGTGAAGTTATTTATGAAGGAAGAGAGTTAAAGCACCTCTAACTTATGGCGATTCGTCGTGGCCTAGAATCGGAATCCCCGAACATACGACTCAAACCCACTATATTTGGAGACTGATTCGAGAGATGCAGCTCATCTCCTCCAAAGAAATCAACAAAATCTCACAGAAATTTTAGGTGGCTGGTTGATGAAATCTGGAATTTAAGAGCATCTGCAGGGTTGGTCTCTACAGAATACATCGGAAAAACGTTTGTGGCAGATTGCAAGTAGAGGCTCGGGGTAATGGCATCACACAAAGAGGGCAGATCGAGATTATTGTTTGGGGTAATTGTATCTTGATTATTTGTGAGTTCTTTCATTTCTCTACCTAAGTATAGTGTTAAATACTTAGAAGCTAAGGAGTTTTTGTTGAAATCTCTAGAGGGTGAGATATTGTGAGTGCTTGTATCCAATCTCTTTATTAGTGGAACCCGTATTTGAGCGGAAGACTGGACGTAGCTCATAATCTATTGGGGTGAACATTTAAATTCTTGTGTCTTTTATTACTTTCCTTTAATCTCTTATATGTGTTGTATGATTGTAATTTATTGGATATAACTGTGGAAGGGGAAATTGCTTGGAGTATTTTGATTTCCCAACAAGTGATATCCGAGCTATAAGGTTGCAGTGTCATGGGATCCAGTCAGAAGTCACATCACTCCTTTTAGGGGGTGTTGAGATTTGTTGGGGAGAACTTTGAGTTTTGGAAGATGCAAGGGACAAATCTTCTTACCTACAAGCAAATTCATAGAACCATGAAAGAACGATCGGCCGCTGGGATATTAGATAAAGAGTGAATAGAGATGGATGAGCAAGTGGTATCAATCATTAGGCTGTGTTCGACGTTGAATGTGATGAGTCTCGTGGCGAGTGGACTGATGAAGACTTTGACTAACAGGTATGAAAAACCTTCTGCTAACAGTAAGGTGTATCTTATCATGAGATATTTCAACATCCACATGGAGGAGGCGGTGAACTCCCACATTAATGAAGTCACTGATATGATGAATAAGTTGCAATCGATGGAGATTATTTCTTTAGAGGTGGAAGCTATAAAAAAACCGTTATCCTATTTGCCTGACAGTTGAGAGACGATGAAGACGGGGGTGTCAAATTCGTTAGTGGACAAGAGTCTTAAATTTTCAGATATTTGTGACGCTGGAATAGCTGAAGAGGTTCGTAGAAAAGGGAGTGGGAAAATTTCTGCACCCACTTCTAGAGGGGAGAACGGTTTGGAATCAGCATTAGTTGCTTAGAGTAGAGGCAAATGGAAGATGACTTATAAGAGAAAGCAGTAGGATAGAAGTTAGAGAAGTGGGATGCAGTAGAGATGTGGAGTTGTTTTTACTGCCACAAGAAAGGACACATCGAGCGTTTTTGCAGGAAGCTAAAGGAGGATCATCAGAAGGGTGATTCTGTTAATGTTGCAAAAGAAGTAGAAGAGTTTCTGCCCTGTATTGAGAACAACAAAGTAGATGATCATTAGAGTAGGTTGTGGACATTACAACATCAGTACATGTATCTTCAGACAAAAAATGGTTTGCATCTTTCACTAGTCAGCATGGTGAGGTGATCAGGATGGAGAATGAGAGTATCTCCAAGGTTAGAAGAATTGGAGATGTCTGTTTGAAGACTCATAGAGGGACCGAATTGGTGTTGCGAGCTGTCAATTATATTCTAGGTTTCAGAATGAATTTGTTATATATTGGGAAATTGATATGAG